TCATCTCGAAAAGTGTGGATTCCTGCTTGGACCAAGGCAGTATATAGATGATCTGTAAATGTCTTGCGATTGTCTTTTCCTCTAAAACTCAAGAAGACATCATAGGCCCCTTCTGGTCTAGATCGAGAAGACTCTGGCTCTGTCATGGCAGCTGCAGAAATCAAGGCACAGTCAATTACCAATGGAGCAGTATAACAAAGAGGTAGCTATGAAATTCCAAAGCTATGATATTGAAATGATGTTAATTGTATTCTCTATATAGGCTTACTGAGGTCAGCTTTTCTTCTCTTTCGCGAGGATGAATCGTTTTCTTCATCTTTGGATTGCTTGCGTTTTTCTTTCTGCATTTCTAAATTAAATAGAATGATATAGGATGAGCTGGTCAATGATTATCTATCTGAACGTAAGGCTTTCAAGTTATCGTTACGAACAAGAAGCAAAGAAGAGTAACTTAAATATAACAAAGAGTTAGCTATGAAATGGGAGCAATGGGACAGAGAAGTCAGCTGCAGAGTAAAGCAAGGATATGGGATTTGATACAGTTCTTGCTGTTTTTAGTATCTAACAATTGGCATAAAGTTTCGTGCATGAAGGGGTAATAAAAAACAAAATGAACAAAGGAGTTTTGGAGAAGTAATCTGAAGAGTAAACCAAGGAAATTTCTAATTGTATTCTTTATATAGGAGAAAGAGAAAGGCTATGCTTTCTATTCATTTAGTAAATTTCTTTAGTAAATTAATTAAAATTTCGAGTCGACTTTTATTTAGACCAATCAAATAATATATTCAAGTTAAATCAGTAATCCAAAACAATCCATGTATCAACAATATTTTTATTAGGAGAGACTCTTTAACAATATAAAAAAACTATATATTAAAACCTAGCATTATGCAATTCTAATACTATATTTTGAATAATTTTAAAGAAGAAATTATAATGTAATTATAATTAAGTTTTTAGAAATCTTAGAAAGAGATTCTATATCTCTTTCTTGTTCTTTAATTTCACCTATTTTTTATATTTATTAGGAACACTTTTTGGCATAATTCGGTATGCTCTTAGCACCTATTTGGCATCCCCTTGGGAAGAATTATGATTTATGAAATTAGTTGGATCCCACCTGCTGGGAGAAGCTATGAAATTACGGCGAGCTGAAGAGTAAAGTGACATAAGTGTCGACGGCTAACCATATTATTTATATTCTGTACAGTAAAAGTAATATTTTATTGATAAGTAAAGAAATATCAAACAGACTTTAGAGTGAAGTTTGATTATGCTTAGCAAAGGCTAGCAAAAACTTAGCAAGCAGGATAGAAAATATACTCAAATCAGACCTAAAAAATATATTTATTTACTTTTTATATTTTGATTATTTGCTTGATTTTCTGGTTATTCTCGATTTATTTTAATAGATTTATTTAGCTATTATATAAATAGTTAATGTTTTATTTTCTAAAACAATTTAAAAATAAATGATTTTTTTTTTACAATTTAAAATTAGAATTTTAGGAATGGAAGAACTCCAATTCTTTTAGCTTTCTTGCAAATAATTGAATTAGAATTTTATTTATCCACGGCAGCTTCTCAAAAATAATATACGGCGAAAGAACAAGGAATTTGGAGCGGTAATTTCGTAGTGGTTGCAGCAACTGGGTCCCACGCGTTCACATTTTTGAGGTCGAAGAGGCTGCTGCTAGAAACAGATTTTGCTTCGACACCTTTCTATCAATGATTTTGAAAAACTCGTAACTTTTTTAGCTTTCTTGCAAATACTTTGCAATTAAATCAGTCCAGGAAACTCTTTGAAGTTTAGCACCAGCAAATTTCCTGTGTATATTACTGCAAATTTCGAGTCAAATTTCCAGTTCCAGCCAACGCAAGGCAGCAATAGTAGAGTAAACCTATAAATAGACTAATCAAATAATATATTCAAATAAAATCAGCCAAGTCAGGGACCCAAATAAGTCCCTACGTTAACAATTCATCCAGAAGAGT